AATCCCCAAAGATCCATGAAACGAAAGTTGAAAAAAAAAAAAAAAAAAAAAGATGAGGGAAAAGGGTTAAAATAGGGAGTAGATGTAAAAATGTCAAATTAATTGTAGCGAAACTGAACATGTTGTAAATAATGGTGCAACTCAGACTATATACATAATCCTAACAAAGAAGGAAAAAATTATTGACAAAATGCTGTCAGCAGAAGCTATGGTATCATTTCATCACAAGTACCAACAATTATAACATCACTATACAAGTAGCTATGGTTTATTAATTATGCTAAAGCTTTCAACTCTCTATAAGCTGCATTTTAATTACACATAGTCAGTTTGTGAATGTACATACTATTTGTATAAGAGAGAAATTTATGCAAGGTCTTCTGAAAAAAAGACCAGTACATTTGAAATTAAATAATGGCACAGAATATCACTAATAGCATATTTTCTGAAATGACCACCTCCATAAAAACAAAAAGCCATTTCTACTATTCTCATCTTCGTACGACTTTAATCAACTGAAATATTAATTAAAAACTCTGAAAGCGCTAGTTTTCGCACTCATTTTTCCGATTGGCAACAGTGTCGCGCGTTGGAGATAAAAATGTTTTATTTCGAAAAGTGTTGCTACTGCTCGCTTTCAAATTGTAGAGTTTGTTAATCAAAATTTTGTACATTTTACAAAATCTATACATATAAAGAAGAATGTCTATTTCTGTGTTTGTTTGTTTGTTGGCGTTATTGATTTCTGATCAATTATGATAAGTTTTATGCCACATTTAATCGACGAAAATTTAATATGGGTGAAATATTGGATGGAACTTCAGCCTTTATGACTATTTGATTATAAAGACGAAAATAATTAGAAACTGCTTGCCATTGTTGCTGATATAATGAGAATTAGCTTATTTTTCTGTCGAAATTTCTTATGTGGGTTCCATATCGCAACAAATTGAAAAATATATGATTATGAATTGTATTTTTTGCATCGTTATTATCGTCATTACATATAACATTCTTATCATTTGAGGCAAGAATGACAAACTATAGAAATGCTGTTCTAGGTTTAAAATTTCTCCGCCTACGATTGATTTCGTGAAAGAAAGTTCTGCTTTCTCCTAATCCTTTTAAAAGCCTACCAGCGGCCGAGTGGTTAAGTCGCTGAACATTGGTAGTTCGGTCCGAGTTTCGAACGAGCTGGCTACATGGGCGTTTTCGTGGTTTTCCCCGTGTGTAACGTGTATAAGAGCCAGTTTCCCTTAGAAAGTCCTCCACGAAGGCATCCCTCCCCTTAGGCAGATAGCCCTAGTGGGCTTTGCCATAGCTAAATACATCACACCAATACAACTATTCCTTTTAAGATGTTCAATATCTCTTAGATTTTCGTGAAAGTTTCTCTTTTTATCGCTGGAGATCTTTCTTTCATTTTTTTTTTGGCGCATTTATATTCGTAAGCAGCTAATCTAGTGTGCTTTCTTTCAAACATATTTCTTATATATCTTGTTTTTAAGATCAACGGCAGCTTTACATTCTTGATCAAACCAGTCGTCACTCATGCCCTTTCAGCTCCACCTAAGATTCTGTTGCCAGTTTCATTAATAGTCAATTTTAACAGATTCCGTTTCTCATCTATCTATACACTCTAATTCCTCCAATTTAAGATTTTTTAATTGAGTTTCCAATTCATTATGGTATCTCTGCTTTATATCTTTCTCTGTTAACAATAGTCAAACTTCTCTAATCCCCCCCCCTAATTTTTACAGGTATTAGAGATTCTTGCTCTGATTTTCATCATAACCAAGTAATGGTATGAGTCAAAATTTGCTCCGCGATATGACCTGGCATCCGATGTGTGTGAGGAATGTCCGGTGTCAATTAGGACACGGTCAATCTGATTGAAAGCATCATAATCTGGATATCTCCAGTCATTTTGTGAATACTTTTGTGTGAAAAACAAGTACTGGCAATCACCATATCATATTCCATAGAAAGTCTATCGGTCTCTGTCCATTATCATCTGAGTCGTGATGTAGGCTATGCGCACTAATGGTAGATTTGAACCTATTTTCTTTAACTATGTTAACATCTGCATCTCCCACCACAATCTTCATATCACGCTTTGACTTAGCAGAATTTAGTGCGTGTACCCCGTTTTCGTAAAAAGTATCCTTCTTCTCCTCATCCTTATCTTCAGTTCGTGCACGTATATTATTAAACTTTACTAAGGCTGTTAGCATAATTTTTAGACGATTTTCATCGGATTTACAGAAATATTTTACCTAAACATTTTGTGTTTTAAATGTTCCATTGATAACCCTTTTTCTTCACTATTCTTATACACCGTAATTTCCAAGACAATAAAGCTCCTTTTAGTATCGGAAGAGGTATTTTATCCCATTTCTCTTGAACAACTTTTCAAAGTCCAAGGAGGGTTCTAGGTCAACGTGTAGCCAATCTCCTTTTTAAACGTCCAAAAGCACAAATCCGTGGATGATACATCAGAAGATTTAGTAGGGATATGCGTGAAGGCTATGACCTTGAAACACGTTCTTATTCCATTTTTGTTTCAGGAAATTAACAGTGGATTTTGACGTGTGGCACTTGCTTTGTCTTGATGTATTTCTACTGACTGATGACACTGTGGGCAAAGAGAAGGCATTTCATATTTGAAAATTGGGTATAAAACGTGTCCCTGATAACATGTGGAATGGACCTTAATAGTTTTCTGCAATCTTTTAACTTTTATTTGTCGTTATATCAAAAACCAGCAACAATCATATATCCTTTTAAAAAAACTTTCTTTAGATTCTCTGAATCATGTTCTAAGGTTTTATTCTTCTTTTTGATAATAATAAATGGGTCATTATTGCGGTCATTTAAATGTATCCCAGATTCATCTATTCTGGCAACATTTTTCCATTTTTGTCCGAATAATAGTTTCTCGTAGAGAATTCTGCAACGCGTTCTGCTTTTGGGTATATATCGTGGAGAAAGACCATACACATTACGTTTTTCAGCCTTTTCAAGATTAAATCAGCATTAATCACATTGTTTATAGTTAATACTGAGTATTTTAAGGATTATGAAACTGTGCTTTGATTTCGAAGATTTTCTTTTAACTTTAAATTTCTTACCTTAACAACATTAAAAACATTCCGTTTTTTCCTTGGATATGTGTTTTGAAAACGTTTTCTCCTTGAAGCCAAACTTTGATGTTTTTTCCTTACTTTTTGACAATAATATCTATCGTTGTTTTATATACCGAAAACCGATGGCTTTCACAGCATTTTTTAATAATTAAATATGAATGATTTTCTTCGGAAAGAGCATAAACATAGCCTTCCATCCATTGTTTCTTTTATTAATCTTCTTTTCAATTTTGCATGAAAACAAAATTATCAAATAGCAGACGATAATTTATACTTTCAAAAATATAGTGGCAGTTGAAATAATTTTCGAAGGAGGCAGTTTTTTTATAGCAAAGCCAAGTCATCTAAAAATGTGCTAACAACCTCTGTAATTGAAGGATCTATATCTTAGTCTAATCCCGCATAAACTGGAAACCAGACTTGCCCTCAAAATCGTTGATAACATGCCTAATTCTCTCATGAACAGTGAAACTCGTGCCAAACACAATATAGTTTCCAAGATCACAATAGTGTAATTTCTGCCATCCTGAACTCCCTGTCCAATCCATCTCATTTCCTGAAGCTCCATTAAGTCAATTTTATAATCATCCATTAATTCCGTTTAAACAGAGAATCCTCTGCTTCTATAAAGCGAAGGCAAGTTTCAGGTTCCAAATATCAGATCTACTAAAATCCCTCTAAGTAGTCTCCGCATTGACAGTCCATAAAATTCTTCCTTTGATTAACTAACAGTAGGATTTTTATGGGGTAAAGTTGTTAGCTTCACGCCCAATCCCCAGTCTGGATGACCATAATGAGTCCCCTGATATAATCCTCAGCGGGAGGGTACCCGGCTATAGCCTGGGATTCTTGGGTACCTGATAAGTCGCCTTTTACGGCACGCATAGGATACGTTAGGACTATTCTTTCACACCCGGTCACTACATGAGTGCAGTTAAAATCTACATAACTTGACTAATTATGTTCTTGAATCTACCTAATGAAGTCCTCAGATTTTTAGGAGATGAAGAAATGAGAAGACGATTACATTAATTTAATTCTATTATTACAACAGCTTATTATATATCGCTAAAAATCAGTATGTGAACATAAATACCTAATTTCTGCTCATTTTGAAACAGACAGTATCCTAAAGCAGCGGTTCTCAACCTTTTGATTAAAATGTACCATCTAAACAAAAATTTTAAAAAATCTTTAGTACCATCACTGCATTTTTACTACGTTTTACAAGGATTATTTTTCAATTTCTGAATAGAAATATTAAATATATATATATATATATTGCCATTTGCACAACTTATTGGCTATTTGTATTAAATATGTACACATGAAAATTGATTACCATTTTAATTATCAAAATTTAAGTTATAATATTTTAATTCTGAAATTTAGTGTGAGATTTGGGTCTGTTTAAGAGAGATCAGTTTCGTTATGTCTGATCTTATTTCACTTAATTTTAACCGTAAATTAGGATCCACTTTTAATTTTGCTCCGTATTGATTTTCAAAATGCCTTTAAATTCTTTTTTTCGGTTCAGCCAAAAGTTTAGAAGTGTGTTATTTTTGAAATCTTCAGTTAGGAGTTCCATCACAGGAAATTAATATTGGACGTGTTGAAAATGCTGAATGTTTATTACCGTATTCATCAAACTATTTAATTTATACATATTTTAATGTGTTTCCAAATGGAGACAACACACATCAGGGGTTTTTTTTTTAAATCACACAATCCTCGAAATTATGAACAGGAAAATTTTTATCTTCGTAAAGATTTACTAACATTCATGAAAAGCTCAAAGCATTCTGAAAGATTAACTGCAGAGGTAATTAGAGAATGTGACTCATTTTGCCATTATTAAGGTTAATCAAAGGCGGAAACCATTTTATTTATCTTTTATTTACAATTTTAAGGCTATTCTTGCTTCTGTTATATACTCTGTCTTGCATCCACTCATCTACTTAATGCTAGTCTTGACTCTGGCATTGTGAAATGTTCAGATATCTGCAGTTGTTCGTATGGACTATGCAATCGTTCTAAGTAGATGTCATTTGTAGCGCAGCCGAATCTCTACCATTATAAAATTAATTAAAGAAAAGAATGACTATTAAAAATAATTTTAAAATTATACTTTTTATAAACGCTTTATTATAAATATAAAGTGTTTATAAAAAGTATAATTTTTAAATACACTTTATTATAAATATGAATGAAGACGTTCAATTTCTAATCTTATTAAGTAACAAGATAAGTAGAAAAATTCATGACTTTCGTCCTGTGTATAATCCTCGCAGTGTTCATGGGATAATTGTAGCAGCAACGGCAGTACTCTCTATGTTACATTCATTCGAGCCACGACGTATTCGAAAGTATCCGTCTTCACCCCATCCGGTACCCCAACTATTCTTTACGATCCAATACTTTTGATCAGTTTGCTTATCTACTCCATAACCCACAAGAACTACTGCATGATTAGTTTCAAGGAAAGGGTTAAATCCGGACTGAAGGCCTGTGTGATAATAGATACCACCTTTGTAGTGTACGAAGTCGGGGTATACTTCGAATCCAACTGTAATAGGACCATGCAAAACCAATTCCAATTTCATGAGATCCTCATTACACCTGCGAAATTTGAAATTCTCTTAAACTAGAAGACACTTTGAAAATAGAAATATTTCAAAAAAACATCCATTAAGAATATTATTTTACTTCAAAAAAATAAATGTACCTAAACAAGTATTAAACAGATAGTTAAATTAAAACTAAGCTTTTAATAATAAGGATTTCAAACGAAAATAAAGCAGCTATTTTCCGTTCTGTTGCTGATATTGTTACGATATAACTGTGCATAGTTATGAAGCATAAGTTCCCTGTTAAGAGAATTTTCGGTCTATATAAATAAATTCTGGAAACATTACTGTAACTTTAACTCTGTATTTTCTCCTAAAGTCGCATCTTATTCTTGAACCATTTTAAAAACATTTTTATCTTTCATGACATTATTATTATTATTATAATTTTCTATCTGTCGCACTTTCTTCTTAATTAAAATTTCCAAATTTATATTCAAATAAAAATTTGATTACGACACAAAAACTAGTTCTCTTCTTGTCTATAGAATTGCCCTAGATTGTAATTAATGTTACTGTTTTATTAAAATGTTGATCAGTAATATGTATGAAGGCACTGGGTAGTAAAATTACATTAAAAGGAATAAAGATTACATTAATTGATTTTAGCAACTATTTATACTATTAAAGTCTGTGCCCTTCTGGTTGTTCATTTGCGGCAATATCTCTTCCAGAACGGCGGGGAGTTGAGTTTCGGTAGATGCAAAGCACAGATTGCAAAAATTCTTGGGAAGCCAATTCGACCATTCTCATCTTCGTACGATTTTAATCAGCTGAGATATTGATTAAAAACTCCGAAAAAGCTAATTTTCGCACTCATTTTTCCGAGTGGCAACAGTCTCGCATTCTGCAGATAAAAGTCTTTTTTATTTCGAAAAGTGTTGCCACTGCTCGCATTCAAATCATGGAGTTTGTTAATAAAAACTGTCTACGTTTTACAAAATATGAAATACAAAATTTTATTTAATTATTAATTACGAACATTAACTGATTTCTGCTAACATCGACCTCGACCGATCAGGTGCCCTCTCAAGACCCCGTGACTTCTTCTCGGACTGCCTCCACACCGAATGCATCGATCGACGAGTTATGTTTTTAAAGTTTAAACTTTACTGAATTCACGAACTTTCATTATCATTTTTCGCCTTGTGTGATGATGTACAAGTATACATCTTTCATTTTTTAAACCAAGCAAATGTCTAAATGGTTATAATTTTCAGTGTACTGGTAAAAACTCTTAGTAGTTGAGGCCAGAAATAAAGATACGATCAAAGAATCAAAAATATAAAAATAGCATTGCCAAACATTAAATATATTATTATTATATGAGGTCATATTCTGATGTTGAAGAAAGCACGCCACTGCATGTGACGTTATTGTAAGTCGGAACGTTTTCGTAAATGACGGCATTTTAAATAGACAGCTACTTTTGGCAGTTTTTTTATTTCGGGTTAGGATAATTGACACGATATGTTATTGTTACGTTGATTCTTTTATTGATATTGAGAAAGAGTTGTTATATTACATTAAATTTAAATCATGGTTCATGCCTATTAACCTGAAATATCAAAAGGTCTTTGTTTCCTCGTTTGGCAGTAAAAGAATTATTTACGAATTGGATATTACTTAGAAACAATGAACTGATTTCATTTAAATTGAAATATTGTTACGAAATGTCCAGGCGGGGTGGGATACCTCCCCCGCAAAGCAGTTTTAGGGTTGCCATGAAATGGCAAGGGAAGGCACGGTTGCCACATTCGGCGACAAAATTGGCGATATACCATGGACGGATGGAGATTTTTCTGGAACGAATTCTTACCGGTTTAGCCCAGAATGTTCTCGAACACAAGCCGAAAGCTATATAAATCCTGCTGGTCCGTAGTCAGTGTGTGCCTCGTCTAGGGAGCTGATAGGCAGTCATTGAGCGTGTGTCACGAAGTCTAGCGCCGAGTGGGTCGTCGAGTTCACTGAAGGAGTCTCTTAGTGTATCGCGGTTAGTGCATCGTCGAGAGAGCGTGTTGAGCTCCGGGAACGGCTGAACCGAAGAGTCGGGAGCCGTACTCTGTGTGTCGTCGAGTGCATCGCGAGTTGTAGCGTGGAGAGTCTCGAGAGTACGTGGAGTTCCGAGAACGACGGAGCAGAGTCGGGAGCTGGACTCTGGTGCTTTGCAGTGAAGCTGTCTCTGCCGTTATTGCCTGACAGTGTGAAGGCTGTTTCGCTGATTTTTTCAGCGTGTTTATAGTAGATCTTCGACGACTGTAAAATTGTTTTGGAGCTTTCCTGATTAATATTGATAAATAAAGTGTGTTTCGATACTTCATCAAGTGCCGTCGTTATTCACTCCAAATCTACGAGCCCCGTACGAACGTGAAGGAAGAAAATAACGTGACAACTGGTGTCAGAAAAAAATCGTAACAATATTTTCTTTTTAGGCGTACATATGACATATAAATTTTGCTTTGGCCGCAGCACGGTAGTTTCGTATAAAGTGTGTACAGCACTAAGGTGTTTAATAAAACCCATTTAAAATATTTTACACCTTCAGTTTGAAAAAAAAAAAAAAAAAAGAATTGCTTGTTGAAAAAAACAAATCCTGCTTAAAATACTTTTAAAAACACGCCCGAATTGAAGAATTATCATTCACTGCATGCGCATATAAGAGATTCTTATAACCATTGTCAGTTTTTTTTTGTTGTTGTTGTTTGATAATCGATATGAAATACTGAAAGAGATACCATTCCATAAGACATGTTTTGAATTTATCTTACAAAATGTATAAGTCTGATTTTTTTATTTTTATTTTTAATGAGGTATTCACTTTCAAAGATGAGTTTGAAATAATGATTGCGTCTTTCATCTGTAACGTTCTTTCATGCCTTCCAGTTGTGGATGACGATTTGTATATTGGATCTTCTCTAATTCTAGATTCAGACATTTTCTACTGATTTCTCTTTTAGTTCAATAAACAAGAAGAGGGATCTGAAATAAGAAAATTTAGTTCTGTTTGAAAGCTAAGGCGCTTGCTTTCTTGGCCATAAAATGAAGCAACAAATTTCCAATTGTTTACTAAAAAAATTCCTATAAATCGAAGTAAATTTGCTGCCCTTAATCGGATGAGATGATGGTTTTATTTAAAAAAGTAATCTTCTCCAAGAGTACGTCTAATACTGTAGTTTATCCCTTCTTTTCACATCAGTATTTGTGGTATCGTTGATGCTAAATGGTCATTATAGTACTTGCATCATTTTTCTGTGGCTACTTTGAACTGTCTTAAAAAGAATCTCATGTGTTTTATAATTTTTTTTTTTAAATTTAAATATCCATCATCAGAGTAATTACGAAGTTTCTTTAAAGTATCAGAGATAAGGGCGGATTTTGGTAATTGAAGATCTTATCGTAAACTCGTAGATTTTTTATCAGTGATACATCTCGTAGAATTAATCGTAGAAAATTACATCTCGTAGATGTGTATTAGTACCAAAAGGCTCAGATTAAAACTTGTTTTGTTCACATCAGTTTAAAATCTCTTGGATGCCACAGCTTCTCTTAAATATGGATTTAATTTTAAGCCTTTCATAGTTCGTTTTTCTTCAAGGATATGTTTCTAGAATCACCTGTTGGAATTCTAAATTTCAGCACTGAAAAAAATTGTTCTCTTTATTATTTTTGCTAGACCCACATTCGGATTAAGGAGGACCTAATGCGGCTCAGGGGTGCGCTTGTCGATGGTAATCAATCTTGGCAATAAGTAGTGAAGTTGACGAATTTTGTCAACCTCACATACGTACCCTTCTCCAACCCCACTATCAACCATACGATAGAATTTTTTAATACACGGTCTTCTAGTAACTCAGAAACACAAGATACTACACAAATGTCCTTATCTTTTGCATGATTCGAATCGTTGCTCAAAGGCAATCGACTTATATCGCTAACTTTTGTACGATCTGAAGCAGCATTCTCCAGCCTTATTTATTAGCAAGGTGTTCTAGTAAACAGAAAGTTCTTCATTTTCATAGCTATGACAAAGAAATACAGTAGAATGTATGTCTCATTAATTTATGTAGTCCAGTATGTAATGTAGTGCAGTGTGCAATATACTGCATTTTATTATGTTGCTTTCTTTAATGTTGGTAATGTCTTACTGCTTATAATTTATCCAATAAACGTAAGTATAATTGTATACATCATACGAATGTCCTATTTTCATACATTCGTCCTTATCCGCAATTTAATGTATGCGTGGCAGGTCTTAGAATATATTATCTACAGATATGGGAGAACTACACTGTATAGGCTCATTATTTCGGAAAAATGTTTTCCTTTTAATGTCAAGAAACGAAGTGCATTACAGACGGGCTGCTTAAAAACACTGTGTCATGGAAAGCTGCATATAAATGTGATCTATAGCTTAGATCATTCTTTTTAAGTATGAAAAATGTTTGAATTTAATAGATAAATATACTAGAATAGAAAACGTTAAACTCTTACCACTCTCATATTGTTCTAGGAAAACTGTGCAGATTAACTTGCATTTTGATATGAAATCCAATATGAATTAACTTTAAATGACAATTAAATTAACACTAAAAAGTATATTTATTGTTTATATACTACTGCTGAATAATTTTTGCATAAATTTTTATTAGTTAATTACATTTCAGTTATTAGTTACAAAAAATTACATTTTTTGTAACTAATAACTGAAATTATTTGTTATTTATGTATGTATACATATTTCTCACATATTTTTCGCATACAGTCTTATAATGTTATAATTATGAAAAACATTGCATTATGTCATAAAATATTTTCCTCATATCGACTTTTTTAATAATACGAAGAAAGCAAAGTAATGTTAGGTATAATGGAAAAGAAAAACAATTATTTATTTCTAAAACAGGTACTAGGAACATAGCTTCAAAAATACACATTTTGTTGCGTTATTTAACACCATCATTTCAGGAAACTGAAACAGAATTACTATGGAAT